AGCCAACAGTAACCCTTTAGTGTCGGACAGACAGGATCTGGCCGTGCTGCAGAGGGAGTACGCTGAGGATGACACAGTTTATCAACTCAAGATCAAGGTTAGTCAAACCACACTAAATGAAGCAAGTTTAGCATACCAAGGATATCCAGTATGCTTGTCAGGTGGTTGACGCTACATATTTTCCGACGCGCGCTCTCTGTCTGCTGGTGAGAGTGTGCTCAGTGTGTGCATGCGCATCAGTGTGGAACTCCGCCGTGCGCGATACAGAGAGCAGAGGAGAATTGTAAACGCAGGACCATGTAGAGACAGAAATGACATGCTGTCATGTAAAGTCATATTCATCACAGTGAAATGTAAATGCCTGTAGTCGTACAACTGAATAAAAAGATATAAAAACACTGGAAATAATTTCCAAATGTTAAAAGTAGGCTAAGACTTAACATATATGTAGGTATTATTACATATGGTCTAAGTGTAGAGTGAGGATTCCTTGCTATTTAGTTGGATGATAAAGAAACTACTCTGAATATTTCACATAAAACTACTCAGTAAGTAAGTAATGGCAGACTGATTCTGCTACTGATGTAAAGAGTAGAAAAGCAGTCCATGACTGATGAGGTCTCTGAGTGAAATGTTGTATTTATAATCACAGGAGCCAATTAACAGTATGTGGAATATTTTCTAAAAAAAGACAATCTTTGGTTTTTATTTCCACTTCTCGTCACACAGGTGTCTCATGCAGGGGCGATTGCTCCGAGACAACAAGGGAGGCTGAACTTGCCCTAAAATTTCATAGAAGAAATGGTCAAATATGCACTATTGAATTTACATTAAAATAAGAATTTACCATGTTTGAACAATATTATGAATTCAATATGCTAAGCGGGAGGAGGGTGGGGGAAAGGGGGTTAATCGGGTGAAAACAAAGACAACAAAGGCAGTAATTTCTTATGCTACCCCCACCACATGTTTTTCTTTTAAAGTCCTATTTGTTGTCTGCAAAAAAATCAGTAAACAGTTGATCACAACAAAAATAAAATAAGAATTTACATTGCATTAAACGTGCGCTAGGATGCGTTTAACATCGTGACTATGATGTTTAAATGTCAGCTTTTATCACCAGTTTTCAAACGCGACTTCCCTGTCATACATTCTTGTGTCAGCACGGTGGACGCGGAGCCTCCAAGCATTCCTATGAGACAGCGCTGAGCAGGTTTTTTTCATGCAGCAAAGCGAGACGGTCATTGGATAAATGCGACAAAATCGTCACTTCCAGGGAGGCTTAGCTTCCCTGGGACCGAATGGAGCGGTAGGCGGGGGAGGACGCTCGGTGTATGCATGATGATTGGAGGAATTGTCTAAAAGGCTGAACCCCTTTGTGATTGACAGCGCTTTGGAAATACTCACAGGCATCATCACAATTCAAGCTCAGTCCCATGCAGATATTTGCGAGTGCAGTCTTCTGATAGAGTGCCATCCGGAGTTCCTTATTTCCATAAACGATATAGTGTATAACGTAGGAGAACGTTTATTTAAACCAGAACAGTGGTGCATTAAACACATTGTTGTGTTATGCAGGCGCACTGTGTTTTAATATTGCAGGGTTTAATTCAGTTTGATTCAAAGGGGCTTTATTGGTGTAGGAAACAAAATTGTATGTACAATAAGCAAAGATCTACCAAAATTTGGTTTATATACATAATGCCGCTGATTGGGCACACAACTGACACACCCACTGAATGAGAGAAAACATACCTGAAAGGCTGCTGCACACACCATTCTGAGGAAACGTGTCGTTCAACCTGGAAACAGGAGCAAAATGGTGAATGCAGTTTTCAGATTGAATGTGCCCCTGATGTGCCACCATGATCGTGATGCAGTAGCTAGTTATTGCAGTTACTACTACAGTGTGTGGCTACAACTCAGGACTTTTGTCCATGGAGCGATCCTTTTTTCCCCAGTGATCTGATTGGTCAGGGTGTTGACAGGTTGTAATGTGATCCTCTGAAGTTAACCTGCTTCCCACAGTGGTTCATCATACTCAAAAGTGATCTAGCTTCATATTACTGGGAATACATGGGTAATTCTGAGGTTACCTCAATAACCTCAAAACCTGCTTCGTAGTACAAGCCTCTGCTCTCAGGTTACTGCACCCACATCAAGGTGCACTTCCTCCACAGTCCAGGGTGTCATTTTATCCAAAACTGCTTAACAAAACTCTATGTTCCTTGTTGTTGCATTTGATTGTGTGTAATCCTTTACTTGTTCTGTTGCAGGACCTACACAAAAAATACTCATACATTCGCAAGACACGGCCAGATGGGAACTGTTTCTACAGAGCCTTTGGCTTCGCACATCTCGAGTCCCTGCTAGATGACAGCAAAGAACTTCAGAAGTGAGTTTCACATACTGTTAGTGCTGTAGTAGCTATCGGTCTCAAGACTCAAGTTCACACTTTTGTAATCTTGGACCATTAAAGCCTGTTTTGGCACAGTTTTGCCTTCTCATGGCTGCACAGATTTGATATGTTTAGTTTGTAGTTATGTAATTATGTAATTGTGTATGCAGTCATCTAACATCTAATGGTGAAAACTGTGTTTGCCTTGAGTTATTGAATACATGTTTTTTTTGTCTCTCTTCAGGTTCAAAGCAGTTGCAGCTAAAAGTAAACTGGACTTGGTTAACGAGGGCTTCACTGAGTTTACCATCGAAGACTTTCACAATACTGTGAGTTTCATGTACAAGAAAATACATTAATTCTCCCAGTACTTAACAGTATATCTTTTATCCTGTTGGATTAAGTGTGTGATGGCGTTTATTGCAATTTGCTCATTGCCCTGCCAACTCTGAATGGTCTGTCAAAGCACATGATATATTTGATGATCTGGAGCAGACAGACACCTTAGATTTGGACAGTAATTTGGCAAGCAGGACATGCACATATCAGTCTAATGATGTAAATGATGTCTCTCCTCCCAGTTCATGGATTTGATCGAACTGTGCGAGAAACAGCCAAACCTGCAGGAGCTGCTGAACTCCTTCAACGACCAGAACGTGTCAGACTACGTGGTTGTGTACCTGCGGCTGCTCACCTCGGGCTACCTGCAGCGAGAGTACGGTTTCTTTCAGCACTTCATAGAAGGAGGACGCTCTGTCAAGGAGTTCTGTCAGCAGGTGGATTTTATAACACGTATCATCACAATGTTCCATATCGAACCATCTAAGTCCTACGAATACAAACTCACACTTAATGTGCTTCTTTCTTTGTTTTTCAAGGAGGTAGAGCCTATGTCTAAAGAAAGTGACCACATTCACATCATCGCCTTAGCCCAGGCCCTGAACGTTTCCATCCTGGTGGAGTACATGGATAGAGGAGAGGGAGGAACAGTCAATCACCACGTTTTCCCCGAAGGCGGCGACCCACGCATCTTCCTCCTCTATAGACCTGGCCATTATGACATCTTGTACAAATAACACTCCTGGCCACACCTCATTGTCCTCCTGCTGTACGCTGCAGCAGTGGGTTTAAAAAAATAACTTCAGCAGCCACGTTGATGACGCATACATCTGTGTATGAGATTACACTCATGTATTTAAAAAAAAAAAAATCAAAATAAAAGATAAAATCACATTACATGCCTCCCTTACCCCTCTCGCCCCAAACTCCCAAGTTTATCCTCAGTCATCACAAAATGGTTAATTAAAAAAATCTTTGGAAAAATAGAAGTGACTCCAGGCATTTAGAGTTGTACAGGTTTTTTTTCTTTTGTGGTTGTAAATGTTATCTACTTGCTTTATGTTGGATTCTTTTCCTTTGTTACACTGCGTTTCATTGAGTTTTATTAAAGGGATTTACATCTTATTTCTCGTCACGTTTTTTTTTTCATAAATAGTCAGGTTACTGTTTAGAAATACCAATCAATAGATGACTTGGACCCGAGTCAGGCTCAAGTCACAAATTTAATGACTTAAGACTCGACAAAATCACAAAACTTGCAACTTGGACTTTGACACAGATGACTTGTGACTTTACTTGGACTTGAGCATTTTGACCCCCACAGCCAAAGATGAAAAAGTGTGCCACGAATCATTTCATTTCCTTTCATTGCTTGAGTCAACTAACAACTTGTTTAAACAAACAAGTAGAAATTTTGAAAAAGTATTCATGATTTTTTGTAAATTTAATATATTATTACTCTTGTTAAAGTGGCATTGCTTTTGGTGAAAAGCATGTTATGACTTGTTATAGACACAAAACTCAAAATTAAGGTCTTGGAACTTGCAAATCTTGACTTGGGACTTGACTAACTTGACTTTGGACATGCCTGTCTTGACATGGGACTTGACACAGGACTTAACCTGACTTGACATGGGATTTGCCCATCTTTACTTGGGGCACGACTTGGGTCTTGCTTCTCATGACATGAGACTTGACTTGGGACTTGAAAAAGGCCTTACATGTCTCGACTTGGGGCACAACGTTGGACTTGAGTGCAAACACTTGTAACTTGAAATCAATGACTTGGTCCCTTCTCTTTCAATTAATCACCTACATTTGTTTATATAGCTCAGAAATGTAAAACTGAATCCAGTGTGACATCTTCAAACAGCATTTTTACCAACATCCCAGAACCCAAAGATACAGTGTGCACTGATCTAAAAAATGAAAAGCAGAAAATTCTCACATTTGGAAAGCTGAAACCAACGACTGCTATACATTTTTGCTTGTTTTTTTTTCTTTTCTTAATTTTATACTTTATTTATCCCCGAGAGGAAATTCAACTTTTTAAATGACTTAAACAATAATAACTTAACAAGAATTTAAAAAAAAAAAAGACATTGTAAAACACAAGGTTGATCATATTTCATCTATATGGCAGCATTTACACCTGCTCTTAAACAAGCGCAGTCAAAGACCGTCTCCTCAACAGTAGATGCCATCTCGTTCCCGTTTTCAGGAACGCTAACAGTTGCCGTTGGTAGTAAGAAATACGGGCAGAGTGAGAGCTCTTCTTTGGACAAGAATGAAGACAGGCAAAGTCGCTGAGGGAGAATGTCTCCGTTTATGAAGTCGTTGACATTGTCAGGCAGGAGATTTGTTGCAGCTTGTGTACGGCATCACTCCTCTCTTACAAGTAAGTTACGTTTAAACCTTATGTAGTATCCGATTTTAGATATTTACTGAAATGTTTCTGTGTCGGTGTCGTAACGGCAGGAGACACATGGCAGTGCCACTGCTGTCAACTAACGTTACCGTTAGCTGGTTAGCTAGCTACAGTGGGTTAGCTATGACGTTATGTGTGACTCGCTAGTTCACTTAAATGACATAGGATAATTTCACATAGTATTAATGTGCAGTTGTGTGCAAGTTTGTGCGCTGCTTCTTGTCACGTTGACACTGATAAGGTCACTAAAAATTAATGAAGGAGCTATGTTGTTGAGACGGACAGGAAGTTACCATCAAGTAGCACTTACTTTTTCCTCTGTTACACTAACACATTAACTTAACACTTAATTGCCAGTTTAGCTGATGTTACAGTAGGCTAAAACTGATGCACTGATGTCTACAAATGTCCTGCATCACCGTGAAATATTAACGTAACCTTCATGAAAGGTTAGGGACTGTTCTTTACTTACCAGAGGAGGGGAGTGGCTGGGGTGTGATTAAAAAAATAGAAAATAAATAAAAAATTGACACTCCTTGAAGCTACAGATATTTTTTATTAGATGTTTAAAACTTACCCTTTGATGTTTTAAACTTTAAAGTAAAAGACAAAATCCTAGAGTTGAAAAAAGCCTTGGTTTTTCCACTCTTGTCGTGGTGCTGGTTAGTTAAAATGTTATATTTTTGGCCAAATTTTAAACGAGACGTAGCATAAAGTGATTTTGATGGAATATCACTATTTTAAATGGGCACTGTGTAGGAATTTCTCCCATCTAGTGTTGAGATCGTATATTGCATTCAAACGGATAGCGCCTCACTGTTTCAAACGCGTATTGTAACAACGGTAGCTGCTGTGTACCAAAAAGCTATGATAACATTGATAAAACCATGTCATCCGATACATGGAGTATTCATTCAGGCTCCTACACAGACACACGCAACGCGAGTGGACAAACCCCCTCCTCACCATGCTGGCTGTGTTTACAATAGGCTCGTTAGAGATTAACTGCGCCTCGCCTGAAAAGTAGATGAGAGCAGGCGGCCGCAGCGGGGGGCGGTGACAGAAAGCTGCGGTGAAGTCGGACAGTTTCCCGACAGTTTCCAGCAGCCTTCAGTCCGTGCAGGAAGTCACAGACACACTTACATCCAGTCTGGAATGATGTCAGTTCATTAAAAAAGTGATCAGACCCATATATCAGTTTGTTTTCATCATCAGTCACACAACACGTTTTCTGTTCACAGAATAAACCTTCAGATCAGACAAATACAATCTTAATCTCTAGAATTCAACAAAAATGAGTAGTTTATCTAAAATGTCATCTTGTTGAGTCGACGTCTAAACCGATCAGCTGTTAGATCAGGTGAGAGCCAGGCGGTGCTGTCGGTGGAGAGCAACTGCAGCGCCTAGCTCTAAAAACTGCAGCCGCCTCGCTCTCAAGGATTTATCGCCATCCACTTTTGTAATACGTCAGAGCAAGTCGGGATGAAGTCGGACACAAAACTAACCGGCATGCATTGTGCGCCGATCGCTGGTGATCGAATCTGCACAGGACTGGCTCATCTCGAACGAACCTAATGTAGGACTTTTGGGGCGGGTGTAAAAACAGCTGTTAGCCGTTGTTAGCTGTGATTCTCCTTCAGCAGCTCTCTCCACCTGGGAAAGGCTACCCCAATGTTGACCCTCATTTTTTGAAATCGCCGGTCACGTGGCCTTTTCAAATGCACCGGCACTTGTGAGTAGCCTGCTTGCTGCTGCTTTTCGTCACTCTACCTGCAGGCGGAAACCGGAAACCGACAAGTGAAAACCCGAAAGGCGATTCCATATTTCTCAAGTATGTCCCTGTATGTACCTGTATTTTCAAGATGGCGCACATACATGATGAGACACCGGTCGCAATGTATATGTAAATGAGAATTTCGGAGCTTACGGACATACTTAGACATGCTGATGGAGGTAAATACACATGTGCTAGGACACACTTTTGACTGCAAACTTTGTTTGTCTCAAAGAACAACTGAAATATGTTACACATAGTGCCTTTAAGCTTAGATTTGGTATAAAAAAAATTCTGACAGAAGTATTCATCGCACATTATGTGTCCAAGGACCGCTGGAAATTTGAAAAATCCAATGATAATTTCAGTTTTTTACAGTTTCTGGTTGTGATAAATGGTATCATTTTAGCAATTTAAAAAAAAAAAGAAAAACATGCCTTTAAAACTTGCAAAATGGGCGGTAAAATAAATACAAAATACGACCATTTAATTTAGTATGTCCCTTCCCTAACCAAAAATAAATAACAAACAGTCCCTTTTTGTTGAAACTGAGAGGTGTTCAATATCATGATCATTTTAATGGATAGTTTGTACATTTTAGAGGTTGTGGCTGTTGCTTACCCTCACTGATATAAATGGAATGGACAACATAAAAACTCTGGTCAGTGTAACACAGTACGATTCAATAGCACCATAAAATGCAGCCTCAAAAGGGCCATACATTTAAGTAAATACCTACAGTGGCCAAGATGATTCAGACGAACTGCATATCCAAAATGCTGTGCAAATAAAAACACATTTGCACCACTGGAAAAGACAAACACAAATGTCACAACACAAATGCAAAAGTCAAAACACTCCACATGTGAAGTCAGTGATCAGTGCTGGGAAGGATACTTTTGAAAAGTAATCAGTTACAGATCACTAGTTATCCTGTTAAAAATGTAATAAATATGTGACCATTTCTGTTAACATGCTTCTTATTTTTCAGTTTGCAAAGAATTTTGGATATTCTGTTCATTCAATCTGTCTCAGCCACCATAATTACGTCTCTAAAACAGTCAGTAAATTTAAAGATGGTTAGTTTGGTCGGCTGTCTTCATGCAGATTTCAGTAGTGGCTGCTACGGACCTAAGAACAGCTCTTAAATCATGTGTTACAAGGAAAGACATTTTTTTTATGAGCAAGGAGATACTAATAAAGTTTGGCATAAAGTCCCTCAGTATATGACAACCATGTAGGCACTAACTTCAGGTATATGTTACACTGCTAAGGTTCACTAACTAACTCTTATAATATAATCCCATGTGTTTCTGCCTAGCTGAGCTGATTGAAAACATGGATAAGAAGGCAACCTGGGACCGCTTCTACACTGAGAACAGCAGCAGGACTAACACCTTCAAAAACTTTGAGTGGTTCTTTGGCTTCGATGCTGTTCGGGACTTTATTATGCCCCTCTTACAGACCAAGGTCCACCCAGATGCTCTGCTCCAAGTCCTGGATATGGGCTGTGGCACTTCAGCTTTGGGGCCCTGTATTTACAGACACTCTCCTCTCCCGGTCCGGGTCACTTGTGCTGACATTTCCCCCGTGGCTGTGCGACTCATGCAAGAACACATCCAAGCCGAAGCCATTCAACCTCTCAATGTTTCTTCTCAGCTTGAGTTTGTAGAGCTGGACTGCACGCAGCTTCACAAGCACTGTGGTTTTAGCAGTGTGGACGTTATAGTTGATAAAGGCACCACAGACGCGTTGTTGAGGTCTAAGGAAGGGAGAAAGAAGGCCAGTCTGGTGTTGAAACAGTGTTTGAAGGTGTTGCAGAGCTCTGGATCTCTGCTCCAGTTCTCGGATGAGGACCCTGATGCAAGGCTGCCGTGGCTGGAGGCTGAGGCACAGGAGCCTGGGCTGTTGGCAGCAGATGTTGGGGTGCAGGAGGTTGGGGAGCTGAGGGGAATGTTGTACTACTGCTACCAAGTGACTCCTCGCCCGGTTGTATAGCAGTGATCTTCCACCTCTGCATGGTCAAAATATTAGATGATTAAATAATTTAACATGATTGTTCAAAAACTGGATGTGTGTTTTATTTTTACTCAATCATGCCTCATTCTTGTCATGATTTTTCTTTTATCCAACCTATATAGAACCTATGGTGCTATACAATTATACATTTGAAGGGGCAGTTCACTCTTTTTTTCCCTCTTACCTGTAGTGCTGTTTATCTCTCTAGATTGGTTTGGAGTGAGTTGCAGAGTGTCTGTTATAGAGATATCGGCCATAGAGATGACTGCCACGTCAGTATAATAGAACTAGATGACACTCAGCTTGTGGTGCTCAAAGCACTAAAAATGCATTTGAGAAACTGAACATTAATGTCTCTTTCCATAAATCATGGCCCAGTTAGCCAAGAAAATCCACAGACTTTGTAGATAACATTTTCACGTAGGAACTTTTTGTATGTCTACCGAACTACACCTGTTAACTGTATCACAGCATAGCACATAGAGAAAGGAAGCTATAGAAAACGCAAACAAACAGAGTAAAGGGGCAGGGGACACTATTAGCCTCCAGGCATGCTAAAGTTGATCTAATCAGTGATGATGGAAAATATAACAGTGTTTAAACATTATAATTAAATAGTTCGGATGTTATTGGAGATCAGCCGTGCCCATTAATACACTTTTACCATTAATTATGATGAAACTGATGTTTTCAATGGGACTTTAGGGGACAATTAACGGATAATGGACGGACCTCTAGCTGGCGTGTATTGTGCTGTGATGGATTCTGTGCAGCCCTGCTTGCCAAGCAAGATAATAAACACAAAAGAGGGAGGGGAAAATACAATAAACAAAACAAAAGTAAATGGACAATAGTACAAACTTGTTTAAATTCCTGAGTTATGATGAGTAATGGCCAGAAAGTGTTTTTGCAGAACATCATGATGTCATAGTGAAGTTGACCATATCATCCCTTCATCATTTTATCCTATCAGACATTTGAGTGAAATTTTGTCAGAATTAACGTATGAATTCCTGATTTATGGTTTGTGAGCGTAAAGCCACAGTGTGTAGGAATTTCTCCCATCTAACGTTGAAATCGTATATTGTATTCAAACAGATGGCGCGCCTCACTGTTTCAAACACGTATTGCAACAACTGTAGCCGCTGTGTACCAAAAAGCTATGATAACACTGATGAAACCATGTCATCCAATACTACATGGAGTATTCATTCAGGCTCCTACACAGACACGCGATGCGAGTGGACAAACCCCCTCCTCACCATGCTGGCTGTGTTTACAACGTAGGACTGTTGGGGCGGATGTAAATTGAAACAAACCAATCACGTCTTGTCCTTTGACAACTGACAAGTGGCTCAGCCTCACACACCTCATCCCTCTCCTCGCATTACTGTGCCGCTAACAGCTGTTAGTGGCCAGCGGCACTACTGCCGCATAACAAAGTCCCACTCTTTGAGCATAATGCAGGATCATGTATTATGCAGCATCACGAGAGACGGAATCCTCGTCGCCAAGAAAGCGCAAAAGGGAATCAAAAAGGCAGCGTGACCGGAGAATTAAAAAAACAAGGGTCAGCATTGGGGTTGCCTTTCCCAGGTGGAGAGAGCTGCTGAAGGAGAAAGGTAATACAATCACAGGCCAGCGCTAACAGCGGCTAACAGCGGCTAACAGCTAACAGCGGTGCAGTGATGCGAGGAGAGGGATGAGGCTGTTAGCGACTGGCCGCTAACAGCGGCTAACAGCCAACAGCGGCGCTGGCCTGTGATTGCATTACCATTCTCCCTCAGCAGCTCTCTCTACCTGGGAAAGGCTACCCCGATGTGGGCTTTCGTTTTTTTTTAATTCGCCGGTCATGCTGCCTTTTCTATTCCCTTTTGCGCTTTCTTGGCGACAAGGATTCCGTCTCCCATGATGCTGCATATGCATGATCCTGCATTATGCTCAAAGAGTGGGACTTTGTGTGCAAATTTGCCAGGGTAGTAGCGAAGCGCCTCTTGCTCCTCTCCTTCGGCTCCTCAGTCACGCAGTGCTGGTCTGGCTCTCAACGAAAACGCCGAAGGCGATGCTGTATGTCCCTTGCTGGCGGGTGTATTCTCAAAATGGCGAAACGTAATGGAACCCCACAGACGACTTACCCGCACAATGTACAAACAAATCCAAAATTCTCCTTTTACGAGAATAAGTCAGATTATTGGTGGAGGTAATAATTCAATTCATCAATTTTTGCCAATAAACAACTGAAAATGTTACACAATGTCCCTTTAAAGTGACATTTGACTACCAAATTCTGATCAGTTCTTTCTTGAGTCCAAGTGGATGTTTGTGCCAAATTTAAGGAAATTTCCTTAAAGCCTCCATGAAAGATTGCATTCACAAGAATGAGATGGACACAAGGTCACAGTGACCTTTACCTTTGATCAATGAATACTATTCAGTTCATTGTTGTGTGCAAGTGGACATTTGTGCCAAATTTTAGGAAATTCCCTCAAGGTGTTCCTAAGAGACCACATTTACAAAAATGACAGATGAGGTCACAGTGACCTTTGACCACCAAATTCTAATCAGTTTAGTTAGCGGAAGTTTGTGCCAAACTTTAAGAACGTCCCTCAAGATGTCTTGAGCTCGTGGGTTCACAAGAAAGGGATGGACGCACAGCTTTGCGGACAACCCGAAAACATAATGCCTGGTGATGGCTTCCACTGGCTTAGAGGCACACAAGAAAAAGAGTTCCCATTGACACATGCAGCTTTATAGTGACTTGCCATGTGAAGACAAAGGCAACAGGACAGAAACTGAAGCAGCAGGGAGATCTCAACACATTAACAATGATCAAGCCAGCATGCTATAAAAAACAATGTGTCACTGTTAAACCTGTAAATGACAGAAATAATTAGGGGGAGCGCAACTCAACCTCTACACCTGAGAGACATCTGACAATGTATTCTAGTTCCTGTTCAGAGGACTTGAAATGTGCATAAACAGTTTGTACACCTACCTGCCAACTGACAGCTCCAGCAGAGGAAAGTGCCGCAGCAGTTTCAGAAAAAACAGCAACTTTGAAGACTAACTTTAGAAGAAGTCCACTTAATTTGTTTATTTTAACAGCTTTACAAGAACATCTTTGCATGAAATAAGTAGTGAAAAATTTGTACCCCATTTACTTATGCTGAAAGTGCATAAGGGATCTTTTAATACTCAACTCAAGTAAGAAGATGCAGTGAATTTTGAGCCCCTGGTGTTTTTTTTGTTTTTTTCCCCAGCTTTGTAAATATTTTCCAGATTGTTTTATCTCATTTCATTATCCAACAAAAAAAAATCAAATAAATAAAAAACAATGTCTTGTCATAAAAAGCTGTGTGTTTAAGTAGCTGCAAATAATCATTGCATGATTATGATTGAAATTGAAATGGATTTTAATCATAAAATGTATCTTTAAGAAGATAAAACTTAACCCCATGACTTGATTTTAATTGTTTAAAATTGATTTAAAAAAATAAACAAACAAAACAGAACATGACAAATAACTACACATTGCTGTCCCATTATTTACATACCAAATTACTAGATAAGAAAATGTCTCTGCCTATACACTAATCTTTGAAAGCAACACTTTCATACTTGCCTCTCACAGGTGTTGAAAGGCATTCTGAATGATGTAGGAAATTGTTTTAGCTGGTTGAGAGACAGACAAGAGCGCATGGAGAAAAATTCCAATCCTTCATTATAATTAACAAACCTCCCACCAAAATGTGGTCTGTTTTGAATATTCTTGCAAACTTGATCAGAATATGAAAACCACACAAAGATCTGCAATTGGCTTCCTTGGAAATACATAACTAAACCTTCCGGACAGAAAAGTCTGTAGCTACTTTGTATATTCAGAGAAAAGCAGACATTTATTTTTGCGAATATCTGATCAGCTCAGTGCCAGCTCACGCCTATCAATGCTTTAATCACTGTTGCTACCCATGTCAACATTGACATGAAGTCACCCTGTTTTTTGCATAAAGAGCCCAACAGACCTATAAACTTTATCAGTTAACATAGTAGGAGTGGGTGTTGACTTACTTTAGATTTGCCTATCAGTAATCTTGGTTGAGTTTCCTTTCAGAGCCATACATTGACACATACAGTCCACAGAGCAACATCACCATGGAAAGGTTCTGGCTGGGTGTCTTGTATCTCTCAGGTCAGTAATTCTTGGATATTATTTATGTCTGACTGCTTATTACCTTATGATACCCAAATATTAAAGTGACAGGTGTTGTCCTGGTTATTTTAAAAAATATTTATTTTTGTGCTGGGACCCCTGACAGAGACTATCTGTGTTGAGAGCCGATACTTAAAAATCAAAAGAAGAGGTACTTCCCTGTGATGAAGGTATTATTATTTACAACATCAGACGATTAATTGTTATAACTCACGCGTCAATGTGTAACCGCCTTTTAATGTTGCTAGTTTAAATACTTAATAAACAGTAAAATCATTTTGTCCAGTGGTTCCAAACTTAGGGGTAAGGGCCCTCCAAAGTTGTGATTAATTGATTGATGGGTAAAGTATGAATACGTCAAAACAGTACTTAGTGTAGTACAAAGCTATATCTTTACTGTGCCTGCTCATGTTAAGTCAGCAGGTTCCTACATCCAAATCGCAGTATGTTCCTGCAAACCACAGATGCATTACATTTGTACATTATTATGTAGTGGATACGCAGTGCTTAATTTGTAAATTAGAAGTAGGGGCCTCTGAAAGAGCAGTGTTCCCCCACTCCCAAAAGTGCAGCACCCGAGCCGACTCACTGCGCGACTCATCCATCCGTAGCACAGAATACAGCAAGGAATCCAGTCAAGCAATGGAATGGAATGGTTGTGACATCAGCCATGACATATCAGCCCTTGTGACATCAGCCATGGTGTATCAGCCCTTGTGACATCAGCCAATACTACATGTAAATGGAATGAAAGAAGAATCATGGAAAAAAGGTTTATGTAGGAGTAGCTATAGCCTATGTCATGTGTGCCATTTACGGAAGCGTATTGCATTCACTT